CTACATCTCAATAATTCAAAAGTTTCTATTAAATTGATATTCGTTGATTATTACTCATTCCAATTTTATGCAACAAGACTCAACAACCGCACAATTTGTCAGCCCTGCGTGTAGAATTCACTTTTTAGTTGAAACTGCAGAAAAAAGTCGTCTTAGTACACACAACGTACAGCAACATTGTGAATACATAATCATAAACACCTGTTCTATGCAAAAAATGAAAAACAATTCCTTTTGTTTATATACAAGCAATCGGAGAGTACTGTAAAAATTTCACTGGGATTAAATTTCGCTGATTTACCATTTCAGGCATATTCAGTGGGTTTTACATTCACAGTTTTTAATCATTTAGAAATAAGCAAAATTAAAATACAGTGAATAATTAACCCTTTTACAGTACTAAAAATATAAAAAGAGACACATACCAGTGAGGAAAGTGAACACTTCTAATTTTCAATATCATATTTGTTCTATTAGGCTTTCTGGATCATTAAAATATGATTATTTTGACCATAGACAGACCTTGATTATGAAAGCACATGCATTACAGATAGACATGGTATTCACTCATTAGCACAAATGCTTTAAGTAAAAGCCTTGTTAAAACACTCATTTAAAAATGTTAAATGTATAAAAAGCAATGAAAAATGACTATTTTGTTCATATAATATGAAATAATATAGTCAGTAAAACATTCTGGCATTCTAAAGGCAACAAGAGTGAAAGGAAAGTCAAAGTAGGGGTGTGGCTTTGTGAAAATATGCATCTATGACATAATCCCCATTCCCTAGCCACACCCCCTTACAATAACAACAGTCCTATCCTTTCTACAAAAACTACAATAGAGAAATATTGAATACACAAGTCTTAAATACACAACATCACCTGTCCTTCGGATTTCCTGTTTTAAAACTAAACAGGATATTGTACATTGCATCTATAATAGCTCTTATTATTCACAATAAGAGACGAGAAAGCACTATATGTATACTGATGATAGCGGGAAATATCTAACCCAAGTGTGACCTGAATAGTACCACTTATACTTACGTCGTCATGGAAACGAATGAGATGTACCGACGCATTCCATACATCTGTTTTTCTCCCATAATAAAAATTTTGTATTTTCCCCCCATTGTGAGTATTGAACAATGTCATTTAGGATTTATATGTTTTTTGCAACTGCCTGAATTACAACAACGATGGTGAGATTCAATTAATTGACAGCATATCATGAAAAATGCATGAATTACTAAATACTGTGCAAAAACAAGTTTTTGAAATCTATAAATGCATGAGTAACAGAGTTCAACAACACGACTGACTGACTGACTGACTGACAGCCTCCTCATACAATCTGCCAGTAGAACACAGTTGGGACGAGGGTGGGAATATCTTTTTGGCCGATGCTAATACATCAAACACGGCAAGTTCTATCAAAATTTGACATGTTTACATATGGATATAATGTAGACAAATTAAAAATACTGTTTACAGTAAACAGTATCATACTGGTACATGGTACCTGCATTGGAGACGCATCTCAAATAGAGGTAATACGGTACCCTGTACTGCGTCTCAAAATAAATATACCGTAGTATCTGTACTGGAGATGCATTTTATTTTCAAATAAAGCAATTACAGCAACATTTTTAAATATTTAATTACACATCACATGTAATGCATTTGTAGCACTGAATTTAATTTGTGCAGTTTCACAAAATAGAAGGTCACCCTGCATTTGACATACAAACAATGAGCTGGCACTAAGAAGTGAAATACAAATGAATCAAATCCATAAGACCAGTGAATTCAAATTTCTTACTCTCAACGTATATAATAACAAAATATAGAATATCTGAACTGTGTAGCCGTTTTAAGATAAGTCAAATATAAAAGCCAAATATAATGTCACAAAAGACTAGTTATTTCACATTTCAAAACTTTGATAACAAATCATACAAGCACATCGGGATATAATAATAATTGAAGACTGATTTGACGTGTTGGCTTACATGCGTTTTTTGATAATGGTGAAATCAATTGGCATCTATGAATAGTGACAAAATATGTATTCATTCAGGGTATCACACTATGCTGATCAAAGTCCAAACAACCATCAGTACGTCCTCCGGTTACCATAGAAATATAGACAGAAAAAGCCAGAAATCCAGAAGCCACGAGATTTGTCTTGTCATACGTAGGATGGCAAGAGAAGAAACAGCTAAAAATTGGAAAGGCCAATGTTTATTACAAATTTATAGCTCCTCATGCGAGTACAATATGAAGTCAGATCATTAATAACTCCTGTCACCAATAATGCTGGAAGCCATTTTCATTTCACGAGTGGTAATGACACAGACGTCTCACGAGCACTAGTTATTAAAATTTATCCTGCTGCAGGTTAAATTCAACGAAAAATCCACTCAAAATGTTTTTCCTTTTAGTCAGCCACACTAATGATTTATGACAAATCGGTAGAAATAACTTCTATAAAATAAAATCTGTCAACAAAATTCACTTCCAAGTGAAACTAAGTACCGCAATACACACTACGTAATTGTCAACAAAAGCAATGAATAGTTCAGTAACAAATGCTAATTTGTATATCACCGCCAACTGCTTCAGTTTCATGAGACAAATGTTTTCCAAAATTTTGAGTTTTGGAAAAATCACAAAATTTTTTAGCAGTGAAAATGTTCATTAATCATCAAACTGCAAAAATTTACATGTTACAATATACTGTGGAATACTTTATTTTCGCTGGAAAAATTTTTCGCTGAAAAGGCTTTTGGGCGTTTTGTATTTTCACCGATTTTTGATGAGTTTATTGTGAAATATAGGAAAAAAAGTTTATTCGCTGGATTTTATTTTCATGGAATCATCCCTTCAGCGAAAATAGCGAAAATAAAGCATTCTACAGTATTCTCATAGTTTAAAGTACTTTGATATTTGATTGAAGAAACTTGAAGTTGGCCTGCATTCAACTGCAGTACGATTTTGATGCAATCCAGTATAGTTTTGTTTTGGTTATTTTTTAATACCCAGTAAAGCAATATATATTTCAAGTAAATAATGCTAGGCATTTTGTGGAAAGCAGACATAAGTGCTTATGTAGAATTTCATGTAAGTGGGATCATTTCCATCTTTAAATCCTCAGATTCAATTACACTGTTGTATTCTCCCATACAACAAGTACAAATGTATACTGTATTTTTTCTATTAGGAATAGTGCCGTTTTGTACGATTTATTTTCCCTGAAATTTGTTGAGTTGAATGTAAAATATTGGATTTTATTTTCACTGATTTATCCCTTCAGCGAAAATAAATTTCAAGTGAAAATACTTTACAGAACAGTACTGTAAAATCTGTATTAGAAGCAGCGGCTTCTATTAAAATGGTACAATGCAAGACGGAATACGGCTTCTATTAGAGCATCCACACATACGAGAAATGGTGAATTTTTGGTTCTCAATTGTTCAAAAAGAATGGGTGTGACATATTTAGGTATGCAGGTTCTAATACAGATTTTATGGCGTATGTGTTTTTATAAATATAAATGATAAAGTTTACAATAAAGGCGCTTTGACCTGTACTATGGTAAAGGTGATTTTTCTTGGTCAAAGGTCATACTAAAACAATATTAGTATTTTACTGACAACTAACACTGAAAGGAATTCTGTAGATGCCCTGTGGTGCTGCATGCAGCATATCTGTCTGAAATGAACGTGCAACGGAAACCTGTTCCAAATTTACATTCAGCAGGAAATAATTTCTCAATATAGCAAGGCGAATTGAGAAAAGGCATAGTTGACTTGACACTTTTTTCACAATATTTTGAATCAACAGTTTTTCAGAGGGCATACTCTGTGAGGTGAGGTGGTGCACTAACTGACCTGATCAAAGAGCTGCTTGCCAGTTGTGTTGGGCTGAATGGCAAACTCCAACTCAGCGTCCATGGTGGTGACACGAACATTTACCTGCAATGAAAAAAAAGAAAGTCACCAAACTGTAAAAGCATTTAATTTCTCTGATTTCTTGGAGGCACTAGCACTTGGAAAGTATTACTGTAAAATACTTTATTTTAGCTGGAATTTATTTACACGAAAAGACATTTGGGCTGTTTTGGCTGATTTTCACTGATTTTGGATGAATTGAATATACAGGAAAAAAAGGTATTTTCACTGGATTTTATTCTCACTGGATTTGATTTCCACTGAGACATCTCTTCAGCAAAAATAAATACCCAGTGAAAATAAGGTATTTTACAGTCTACAAAGTATCAACCTGTCTTGTTAAAATTGGCATCTCTACATCAATACACAGTTTCTTCCCGGTGGTGCTCACTTTAGGAAACGTACTACACAGATACAAGGTTTTGACCCTCGATGTGTAATAAGGAAAGTGAAAATACTAAATGACATATAGAAAACAATATACTAATCTCACTTCATCTTGTATTTAGTGTCATAATGATTTTTTTTCGAATAACAAATGCAAAAGAATTCATAGACTGTTGTTTCACTTCCTATAGAATCAACACACAGTACATATACTTTTCAACTCTGTAATCCAATACGATTTGGTAGACAAGTAATCCGTTCACTAGGTGCTTGTCTGAGCAATTTTTGGGATGGTCAACAAGTGCCTAGAAGCCTAACCAGTTTGTCTTAGTGCCTTTCGATATTTCATATATTAATGTTAAATACTAAAGCAATTTTATCAACTTTGGCCTTGAAAACAAGAGCCCTCTCAACTCATTCATGCTCTGGGCAGTGATATGCTTTAAATTCAAGTTCACATGCCCTGCAATATTGACATAGACCTACAACTAGTTGCATTGTACACATCTAAATCTGGTTGGCAAACTCTAGGTAATGATTTACGACATACCCACCCCTCTTCACAACTACAGGGTAATATTACTATGTAGCAAACAATGCTCATATAATATTTATCAGTCTACGCAGTGGGAAAACAAACTACTAAATGCACGGAAGCAGAAAGGATAGTTTTATTTCCTCAATTTTAACACATCCCAACATTCCCCACCATATACAACTATTGTCTTTCCATACTCCCCTCTACTGTGCTTTTCAACACACTAAACAATACAATTAACACCTGGCACAGTTACAGCAGTATAATCAATTGTACAAACTTAGAAGTAATTTAGAAGTAATCAGGATATAATTTAGCATATTGAACTCCAGATAAACATTTAGGACAGCCACGAGTCAATCATATTGCACCTTAGCCTCAGATGGCGACGTATCATTCAATCAAAGTTTTATACAATTTAGGTCTTGCCTCGGATTTACAAAATCAATTGCTGGTTATAAATACATATAAAGCTTTACTCATACATAAATTATCAACTTTATGATCCACATGACCATATTAGGAGTTATTGCTACACACAAAGCATTCTACCCCTAAAGCGTTCACCTGTTCTATTTAACACAAGAGTAAACAATACCTCTCAATCAAGAAGATTTTATCTTCAAGATCAGTGTGTTATCAGTGTACATTTATTTTTGCTAACATTACTAGCTTTTTGTTAGAAAGACTACAAGCAAGCACCTGACACAAGTTGTTGATTTTTATTATTTAGAATTATGGCAAGGCACTAACCTACAAATATATTAAAATAATCTCGTTCTGGGAAAAGTATACTGTAGTTTTAATTAGAACTAAGTTAGTACAGTAATAAAATTGGGTGTTGTCATTAACAGAGCAAAACCACCGTAAAACACTTACAACTACGGTATTACTATTACTGATGGTTCTAGAAAACCATGAGAATACGAGTGAGAAAACGCTCTACTCCAAAGAGCTAACTCCGCAAAACGGCACTTTCTAATTTCACAGTTTGCTGAAAATACGAGTAATTTACGAACTAGCTTGCCAGACAACGCCCAAAAATTTAAAAGGTGTTCCCTTTCCAGGTCAAGCTATGAAGCAATTCGGGCTTCGGCATGCAATGTTCGATTTTTTCCCACTGTGCCAACTTTTTAAACAGGAAGTTACTTCACGCAGAGATCAGTCCAACAACGTCGGGAATGCAGTTGTTTTGAATGTCAACAATTACGATATTTAAGAAAATACTTACAGGTTTCGGCATCTTGGCGGTTGTTTACTGTCGTCCACGGTATAATAAAGTACGAGATATCTCCGATTCCGTCCGGTACGGTGTCTCAAAATCTTGGCTACCTGCACGAATGGTGGAAAAGGTGATAGACTGAGAATTTTAGATCACGGCAAAACAAGTTAAGTTGTTGGTCTTGCGATTTAACAGAGCCTGAGAGGCACCAACAACTTATGTTTTTAATAATTAAGGGAAGTATGCGAGAATAATCAATCTAGGCGGGGTCGTTTTAATGAAAAGTCAAGTGTATGACTAAACCCCGCTACATTAAAATATGGGTGAGGTCGACCAGGATGACCGCCCCTCAACGAGTTACTGGCAAAGGCTGATGACTGCAAAGTACGCGACTGACGAGTTCTATGTACTTATTTGAACCTTTGACAATTATAACTTCAATCATTGCATAGTACAAGTCGTATGCTATAACAAAATTGGCAATTAAAGACAAGGCGAAGCTGCAAAGTAAACTTACCGGCGGTTGAATAGCAGTACACACAAGCTAACCGACACAATCCAAAATGGCCGTCCTCAAAGCAATGGGTGTGGTGTTGAGCATGTGTGTCAATCAATTACCCGGCAATAGTAGCATCCCCCTATAGGCCGCAATTGCTCACAGGCTGATTTGCATATGCCCGCACAAATTTGAAACATTAAAAACTTCCAATATTTACTCATAAAACACCAACGGCGATTGATCTATCTTCACAGTTTTATTAATCTCATATTTAGCTAAGTATTCTAAAGTGAACTTCTGCAGTCGGCGCTACAAGTGAGTTGAAGGATCACGGTATGAGTCGGGCCATGACGAGTGCTGGATTGTAGACATGTACTAGTTGGCCGAAATAATAATAATAATAATAATAATAATAATAATAATAATAATAATAATAATAATAATAATAATAATAATAATAATAATAATAATAATAATAATAATAATAATAATAATAATAATAATAATAATAATACACTGGCAGCACACAACTTGAATGCAATACTTGCAGTCAAGAAAGTGGGTGTTCGAGGAGCTGAAGAATTAGTGTCTCCGGGTGTGTGTTTTGTTTTATTTTATAATATGACACAGGTATGTCTGACACCTTGAGAAAGAATTCCGACACACCCGACCCAGCACAAAGACATGACTGTTATTCCATTCTGTAATGATACTAAATATTATACTGATCGGCGTACTGCAAAGCAATGCGAGACACATGATTAACGAATTATCCTAAACATCGTCGGGAATTAACATGGCAGGACTCGACACTCTTAAAATATCCCTAGTCGCTCATTGTTGCGGCTTTCTTTCCGCATTCCACGGCAACAAACGCCACTTGGAACGTACTACGTTGCAGTGTGCACATTTGCGTGGGTCACTAGTTCCTGAATGAACCAATTGAACGTAACACGACCTAGCCCTTTTTATTTTGTGTTAGGGGCTTTTGTCATCTCAATGAGTAAATCATATGGCATTCTTACGTGCGTGTGATCGATTTATTTGTCACGTGACCACCGCTCATTAACTTTTTGAACGCCCCCATGGCGTTTGATCCCCGGGGTTGGATTGAAAGCTTCCGATTCGTACAGCGGTATTTTCATAATAAGGTGTACGTGTATTCTGTGCAACTGGTATATGACAATTTATCTCAAACTGCTCCGCAATTGTTTACCTACAAGACGTCCGTCCGGAATTACAGCCTCCCCTAAGAGTATCATGTGGTGGCGCTCTCAGTACAATACATTTACAACCCCGTCGACCTGTTAGAAGACCTATATGCATCAACGACATTAGAGAAGAAATTGTCTTTGCTTTACCTCCATGCCCGAAAGTAGTGATGTTTAAAAAGGCGTGAACTGCGTAAACATACTGAAATTGTCATTCTGTAACGCACTTGTATTTTATGCACCACAGAAGAAAGTGAGAAGAAAGAAGCTGAGAGCACCATACAAATCAAAAGTGTCACTAATGAGCATATGTGCAATTCATTATGAGAGAGAACTCCCCATTGTATCAATCTGATTAAAATAATATCTTTGTTAATTCATTCACTTATTTTTGTTTTACTAATTATTAATTGCTAGGAGTTGTTTCAACAATATTTGAATTCCTAGCAACAAAAAATATGCCACCGAGCATAAATCGGGATATAATAGCATAACAGTATAATTGCAAAAATGCAATTTTGATACCCAAAAATCTGTCGAGTGACACTAGTAACTAGTTTTACCTTTCCAGTATCCGAATGGCTTCAGTTTAATGAAGAAGATAATACATATAGCCTTCAATGTTCAGTTATATACGAATCACGTTGTATGATACACCTGCATCGTACCACATCTGTACACACACGAACGTGACCAGGCTCCGGAACGAACAACCATACGTAGTAGAAAATCAAAATAACGTATTCTGACAATTAACAATTATAGTAAAATAGACTCACTGACGATTACAGCATATTGACGGGTTAATGTGATTCGTACTCAGCAATTAGTGCAGACCCTTGCGAAGTGTTTACTCTCAAAGTGTAAAATCAGCAAGGTGCCTATTCTTCATTGTTTATTTTCTAGTATAAGGTTGAAATTTAGACTCGGTATCCTCGGGGGCGGAGCTACGTCACGGACGTTCTACGTTGCTAAGACGCGCACCACTGTACCACGTATTTCTATGGGCTTTGTGCGCGCTGCTGTGGAACGCCGGTGGAGCAGGTGAAAACTCGAGAAAACAACACAAACTCAACTTTGAAGTAATTCTGAATAACCAAATTCATATATGTTACACACATAGGACTAATCTTGTTTTACACTGTTCAGGGGAATCTCAACAACCATCGCAAAGTACCGTTTTCTGCGAGTTTTTGGTCTTTGTTTTCACCGCGAGGGTTGCCAGGCGGTATAAAATGCCCGGATGTCCGCCCCCGAGGATAGGAGAGAAAACGTGACGAAAAAGTCTAACTGTGTATTTGTATTATGCGCAACGCGTGGAGCTCCATGAGCCATTGTCGTAGTAGCTGAGCAAGGGGAATACAAATAAGGTGCAAGCCCAAATAAAACATTCGCCACAGACATTAGTGGCTCGGCGTGATTAACATCGTATGTAGGTGAAGGGTATGGTCGCTTTTAATGTACGGCCTACTGGTGTACCCCCCTGACAAATACGCGAGTAGCCGTACTACAACCTGCCCGAGAGCCGTGGCCTAAAAACCACCGATCTCCGATATACCTACATCGGAGGTTTCCGTGACCGTGGCTGAATATTGTGAACGCAACAATCTAGATTCCACCAGCCGTGACATGCAGTGGGTTGAGTGTGAATGCTAAACTTTGTTTCGATCATGCCCAATCTTGGTGTGATTATTCGGATCGTTCAAGTTTCTGTGACATGTTCAAGTTGAATAAAATTAGATTCCGAACTATGATTGTAATAATGTGACCTCAGTGTTTCAGCATTTCAACTTTGACTACAAAGCCCTTTGATAGTAGAACTGATTGGATTCTGGCCTTGGTAGCCCCTTGGCTGATTACAAGGCACCATAAATGTCTCTTTAACTAGGTGATTAATGCGAATAAAGTGAGCCACATTCCCCGTCCGATTTGGACGACCTGGTCGCATTAGATACACCGTTTGCAAGTGTCAGAAAAAAAGTAGTGCGTCTCCATGAGAGAGAACAATTAATTCTTAATCAGAAATTATCAGGACAGGTGGAACTTTAAAGAGTTAGTTGAATGCCATATATTAGTATATTATATTATAATATGCGTTGTGCGTGAAATCCAACGTAAAAATAAAACAAACCAAGGTCATAGCGTCGCAATGACGTTAAAATATCGCATGGGATTCGAGAACGCGAAAATATAAAATATTTTCACGCCCAATAATCTGCTATTTACATTTGATGAAGGTCAATTTGGATGGAGTAAGGGTATCTCAACGCAATACTCCCCTCGTAAAAATCGGCAATCCGACATTAAACTATATGCGGCAAAAGTTCGATACGCAATACGCGAGATCTCGCAGTGAACGGAAAATCATGTTATGTTTGCGTTGATCTTTTAAGTTTTACGCCGTCTGTACGCCCAGCTCAGGTAAAAAACGTAACTAATTGTGTCTCAAATATTGACACTAAGGGCGTTTCATAGTCATCGTCTCAGAAGAACGTACATATACTTTGGGTGGCGCCTCACCCCGACTTGAATATACTTGCCAATAACCAAAGTTCTTTTTAATCGAAAACCACAAAGTGAGAGATTGCCACTGGACCGCTGCTTGGAATGTACAATGAAATAGCATTATTTTGTTTATTACGGTAAAGTTTTTGAGAAACTTGTTCTAATATTTCTTGAAAATCGCCATTTTTAAAAACAATTCCATGAACACAATATTAAAGAAAAGTTGCATTTTTTGACCCAGATTTTCAAAATAATTCAGAACAACAAAAAGTACTCCATCATTAACAATATATGATTTTTTCAGCCTATGTCAGCCTATGCTAGAGTATGAGATATTGCACAATATCTGCCACAGGAACCTATGGTAAAATAATTATAATGGCGACTTTCCACTAAATATTACAGCCACCAATTCCCAGAAAATAAGACTGGTGACCCCCAACTTGTTATAAGTCGTTATTCATATATTGCATTGATGTACAGTTTCTTGCAAAATGGATACATCCTGGGTATTTTCATTTATGAGTAGTATATCTCAAGCAATACACGGAGCAGGATCATTGAGAGACGGGTTATTGATTGCCCCCTAATTCCGCCCGGAGTAACCCACAATAACATCAAACCCCAGCCAACTCCTTATATAATGAGGCATATCCTGACTGAGAGATTGATCATAGTGAGGGCGCTCTTGGCTGGACAAAACTTGTGACAGCTAGCACCATGACTGACTCGAAATTTTCGACTTTGCTGCGCCATTCCTTAAAATAGCTTTAGGTGACCGCTTGGTAATTCCGAATTACGTAGTAAGAGACAGAAAAAAACAAATTGGACGCGCGTGTATACGGGCATAGTACTTAGTATTTACGATCTACAAATTCAACGCTTAGCGGTAATAAGCCTAAGTGAGTCGACGACACTGGACAACTCTAACACTGAGCTGAGCGGTGCAGGTAAAATAAATCTCGGTTGGAACTCGACCCTGCAATAGTGGACCGACACTGAGCGGCACAGGCAAAATAAATTTGCTTTAACAACATTGCAATGCAACAGCCGACTCAAACGTCATACAGCAGAACAGCGGCTAAGGTAAAATCAGTTTTGATCGTGACTTCAAACAATTTAGATGCGTTTCACTTGGTATACGTATCCAACTCATGAACTAACCCAAGTTCGAGACTATATGAGCTTACGCGACAAGGAGTTTTGCTAGATCCGGATATTAGTCTGAAGTAGGACCAAACCACAGCACGTAAGTAATATTTGTGGAACTTAGCTTTCACAGCATGTAACATACACATATACTCCAATCAGCAGATTAATTGCCTCTTGATTACTGTATTAATGATTATTACCCCGCAAATCACCGGGAATTAACATTCAATCTGACCCTACACAATATATAGTGGTATTAGTTTGTTATTGGTAAGGTTCATCAGTCCATAGTATGGCGCAATCAATATTGTCGTTGTTTGGTACTGATAGGAGAACAATGAACTGTATCATAGGGCGTGATAGAGTTAAGTATGTGTTAGCAAAGTGTTGAAACAAGCATTGTGACACCTACAATTTACGAGCTATGTGTAAGTATCGAATTATTCCACGTACGCGAATAGTTACTTTCCTCGTTATTATTGAGCTTTGGTATAAATATCTTTTAAAAGGAGCTACAATTTTGCTCGTTTCTCAAATTTTTAATACTGAGCCAAATTGTCCTTTTGGAACCGAATTAACATAACATGGGGGGGGGGAAATATTAAGGTGGACTATCCAGACAACTGAAAATAAAAATAAAAATAAAATGTGAAATGTAAAAAACACGAACAAAAATCCATTCTTTGTTCGATTTCCATGAAAGTTTGATGGACTCTATATAATCGCCAATATATTGGGTTCCGTCATTAGGCTAACTCGAGGAGAAGAGGTGGTACAAAAATATTCCTTGATATACTCTTTTCTCTCTCATTATCCCCGTTGGATTTCCTCCTGAATTTTTTCTGTGCAGATCACGCCACAGTTTATAAGTTTAATGTATACGAGTGGCGTAGCTTAGTAAGAATTGTTCTGGATGTAATTACTAAAAAGTGGCAATTGAAATCTTCTGTAATATTAAAAGTAGCGTTTCAACTAAATGAGATTGCAACAAGACTGCGACAGAACGCGATGACGAGCACCACAAAAAGGTATTGTGTGTACAAAGTGGTATATTCTACGGAGCACACAATATGCTCGTTTTCTTTGAGAGTTCTAATTTGTCGTCTGCCTTTAATTCGTTAAGGGTACTATAAACGCATTACTTATTCACTTCATTATTTTAATTTATCGCATACCATGTGAACGTGACGTATGTAATAATTGTATTTGAAACAGTGGGCAAAAGGATGAGAGAATTGAACAATAGTTAAGGAACAAAAACAAGTTTCGTGGCTCTCACTTTGAGTGAGATCTCGGCGGCCATTTTAGTCTAAGGTCTGCTATGAACACACATTATTTTACTTCCAAAGTAATGAAACCCAAATTTCAAGTTAGGGAATTAAAATGCACTTGAAAATAAATGTTACAGTAACAGTAACAAAGAATTTCAGCCCTGATTACAACAACGAAAAGTATTTTTGATTTGGCCACGGTGAATTATTGCCATTGGTGCAGGTACGGCTCAAAATTAAACTTTGAACTTCTTGTGAATATATAACACATTTAGTGCGTCTATAAGAGCCCTTGACATTCCAGCTGACAGACTTATTCACGATTCAATGTCAGAGTACTGGCAACGATAATAAAGTAATTGTGACAGTCTATGTATGTACTGTCTATTTGGGTCCAAAGAATGGGGGGGGGGGTAATTTGGAAAATATAATTACTTCACTGCCGTAATATATGTTGAAAAACTAGGTCAGTTGATAACATTACGTGTAGAATTATTGTGTTGCCATCGAACAGCGGTATGTGTGCACACATTGTATGATGGTAAAACATTTGGCGATAAAATAATTCGATCGATATCGATACATATAAACTCAATTGAATCGCACAGTACAGGTGAATTAATTATTCTGTTTTAAGTTTTAGGTGACGAGTTGTAAACAAGATGGCGGATAGAGAGATGGGATCAGAGCTAGATTTAAGTCGCGGTAGTTTGTACACTTTGCAGCCGTATTTAATAAACAAACCGGGAATTAAAATATTGAATTTGAGCGTGAATATGCTGAAGTCACTTCCGATAGAACTCGGTGACAAGCAGGATATGGAAGTTTTCAAATGCAGCAACAACCAGTTTAAAGAATTCCCCATCGTTCTGTGCAAATTGGTTAGACTCGAAACGCTGGATCTAGCAGGGAACATGTTACGAGATCTTCCCAGACGCGTAGGGGACTTGACTAAATTGACTAAAGTGTCTCTTGGCTGGAATAATTTCAAACAATTTCCCGTCGAAATTTGCCAAGCCAGCGCCCTCACCGAGCTACACCTATCCAACAACCGCATTACTACCGTTTCTGAACAAATCTCGAATCTCCGTCAGTTAAAAATTTTCGACATCAGCCACAACAAAATAAAAACATTGCCTTCTTTCATCGGCGACCTGATCAGCCTGACGTCACTGAATGTCAGCAACAACGACATCGCAAATCTCCCGGATGATATATGCAAATTGCAAAGTCTGAAGACCATGAAGGCAACGACCAATCACATCACTGCTCTGCCGCATCACTTCGGTGCGTCGCTTCACCAGCTGACGTTGTTGAACGTTGAGGGCAACCCTCTGGAAGATCCACCGATTGATATCTGCCAGCAAGGTATTGCAGCTATAAAAACATACCAAGATGAGAAATGGGGGCCATTATATGACGAAGTTACTGACGAAAATCAAGAACCAGAAATCGGTGTTCATCGTACAGAAACAAGTGAGATTGTTTTTAAATACTAGGGAGCGGGACTCAAGGGATATCCAACCCAAATGTTTCACATGACGTGCGATGTCAGACATTTGGGTTACGTGTAAACCGAAGACCTCTTTAAAATCGAACACCGGCCCGCGGAAGTTACAGTTGTCAGTGCGAGTACAAGTACTTGCGTGTTTTTTGCTATACAGGCCGACAATGTTGTCTACATTTTTATCAGGTGCATTGGTGTTTGGTTTACACAGGGTTCACTGGAGTTATTTAATTAAAGCGGGGGAGTCGTCATCTGCGCATGCGTCAGGTGGCCATAGCGTGTCATTGTTTACAAACAAGCTTGTCATTGTTTAAAAACTACCCAAGAGCCTTTGCGTTTTTTAGCTTGTGTTTTTATCGTCGCTTGGAACTCGATTGCTACGCGTGCGCAGGTGACGACCCTTCCGCTTTAACAAACAGTTTCTATGACAGCATTGACGAATATGGTAAATAATGCAGTATGCATATACAATTACGTCATGCATTGATGATAAGTTTGTTCACAAAAAGAATTTTAAATTTTGTTGATCTACAATTTTATTATAATGTTGACACTAATGTAAAGTCATTCCATCATTGCAGATAGAGTGTCGAATACCATGGTAACTTTTCGCAAAGATGACGATATAAATAATAATGCTGGGCCCACAAAACAACGAAAACTCTCATTATCATCGACTAGACTATGTGATCGGCGATTAATTGATGATTATGCACTAAACTTGGACCTCTCACAAGACGGCATATTTAATTTCATCATCAAACCAGATGCCGAAGTACGTACATTTTCATCTTCATAATTTGTCTTTTACGTGTGCTTTCTACCATGTATATCACAGTGTAGCAGCATATAATAGTGTAATATACTACTACGCTTTTAAAAAGTCTAAGTAAATAATAATGTGCAAGAGAAGTGCAAGATTTCAGATATTTCAAAACATGGGGCGCATACCTCGGACTATAGTTGCATGATTCCCACTGCGTATGATCTGCAGCGAGAAAACTTCCCACTAACGCCTTTAAAGGGTCGCGGTCGTCGTACCAAGCATGTGCGGTACATGTCTCTTTAGCTAGGTACCAAGCTTTAGCTATGTAATTTCTTTGGTGACTGGAAGGTATCGAAGGAATCACCCGTGGTAATTAGTGCACGTGGTGAACAGATCAAAATTTGTTCTCGTGATTCCTATTAGAATAGCGCATTCGATTGTGGGAAAATATTTTTTTATAAACACAAATGTCGCATCATTATGACGATGGATATTATGCAGAAATTTAATTCGAAAGAATTATGAAATGGAATTTAGAAGGCACTTCTCAATTCAGGTGAATTGGCCTCTAGTGATTACAATAATCATGAAAAGTTCCCGCTAGCCCCAGTATTCCAATAATTCAGAATTTGCTGCCAGACTAACTAATGTTATCATTTTTATGGTGACCATAATAATCAGTTGGAGGTTTTCTGCAAATCATAAAAAGTTGGAAAGAAATTGCGGATACATAGAATCGAACTGACGCTGCCGTACGGAGCCCGAACTGAAAAGCACCCCCACACGTCAGTACATTGACCCTTTTCTATTAATTGCTTCAGAAAACGAAATCAGTTACCTTGTCCGACAATATGAAGTTCGAAATCCCACCAAATGCCGTCAATGAAGAAGTCACCATTACCACAGAAGTCGTGGACGCCCCTCCGTGTCCTGTTGCACTGGGAGATCACGAGTTTGTTGTGACGGACTTTCTGGAACTCAGTCCCGATGGACTCCGATTCCAAGAGCCAATTATTTTCACGCTGAAATACCCCGACGAATTGAAGATGGACAAGACGCGAGAAATTGTTGTCCGAACAACTAATGGAAATGGAACATGGAGTGATCTCAAAACGTGGCAGGTGAGGGTGCTATCTCATCTAGTCTATTCCAAACTTGAACCGCTTCGTATCCTACTTCCCGCTATTCCCTTCAATGCTATTTGTTTGAGAATTAGAAAGACAATTTAAGATCGTTGTTTAAACATGAATTTAATTATGTTTGATTTTTAGGAAGGTGATGTTATAAAGGCTGAGGTCGAACATTTTTCAGGACTATTAGCTGTATCCAAACCGAGAGTGCATTCATTCATTTTACCAAATATTGGAGATATCAGCGTCTCTTGCGTCGATGATGACATTTCAGTCGATTTGAAAGCACCGCGAGATACTGAAACTATCAATATTTCAATGGAGGTATTTACTTTTTTATGTTAAATCGCGGCTGGTTAACGTGTCGTGTTCGATGTGATGGGTTTCATGTGACGTATACAACGCGTGTAAAATACATTTACATGGTATTCAAACCGCCCCATGACTACTCAGATGGGCAGTGAACTGGAAAAAGACCGCGCTCATGTTTTGCATTAGGTGCCATGCATTTGAGTTACAAATAAATCAGTTAAGATCACTTGTCTTAATTAAAGTTTTATTTTATTTCAATGGGGGAAAACTAGCATTTCTTAAGCTCATAATAAAAATTAAGTGGTACTAATAACACGTAGTAAACAACAATTAACAAATTTATCAACGGACAACCAAAAATGACGGTTTAAATTCGTAAAATTTAGTCATGATATTATGTTTCTCTTTCACAAATGTCGACAACGGCTTTATACACCTTTTCTATAAATTGCGCCCTCTACTGACGAAGCCCCTTTCTTATGTACAAGTTCAAGTTGACACGAAGTCCGTTCGAATCGTCGATATTAATTAAGATTATTGTTTTGATAAATATTACTATATATTCCAGATAACGAATGATTACACAGTCAGACTCAGTGGTCTATTTGACGACATTTCCTTCACCATATACGTCATTTTGACGTCACAGAAACGCTCCGTCACTGGAGGACGCAATGTAGAAGACTAGTGTAATGCCGGGTTAAACTGTGATGATGATATTACATTATCCGGATAGTATGCCTTCTAATATTCACGTATTAACTACTCTAATAACTATTTCTAGCTTCAAAAAATAGAAAGAGACATCTTATTGCGTGCTTGTGAGCTCGTCGACGGATACCAAGATGACGACGTCGCCATGGGGAATATACTGAAGCTGCACCAAGTCAACGGGACATCATCTAAACCAATCACTCTCAGTTTGCAGGTGCCAGAACTATCTGAACCCTGCGATGTGACTGGCCAGACAGGCCGAAACAAAGGTTCAGTTAAAGTGATTATGGATCACAATGATGATAATTGGTGTGACGTCACGGATGACGTCATTTACGGCGTTGATGGAGGCAAAAGTATAACCTTCAAACACAAATTACCGAGGTGAGATATCCATACATGATTATGTTTTAATTTATATTGTGACCCTTTTTGGTCGCGCATAGAAATATTTGATGATAAACAAATGCGCAAGTGCACTCGCGCATTTGATTGGTGGTACGTACAAGTACTAGAGCGCATGCGCATATTCATCAATTATTTTGTCATCATCTGAAAATAATTTGAATTTTCGTCTGCTACAAAAATAGAACGATAATCTGCCCATCATTTCCCATTTACAGGTCGACGTGTCGTTACACAACAATTATTGCCGACCCTGAGGTCAATGTGTTGGCTATTGCCCAGAGGGCGACATCAATGGCCAGAAAACGGTCGAAAATTGTGAACATGGTTCTTCTGCAGAATGTCAGAAACCCCCATATTCTTTACGTCGACTGTGTTGTCAAGGAGAAGTTTGAATCTCTGTTTTCTAGATTACTGCAGATCGGGTACGAGACGAGAGGCATGCATCCCAACACTCGTGATATCGACTTACCAGAGGGGGAGAAAATCGCCCTAGATATAGGGGGCGAACACATCAGTGAACAGCGATCTAAAGATAACAACCTCACTTTCTATTCACGGAGAGACAACCACGTGAAGGTACACGTTTCCCTTGGCAACAGCGCATGCGCAGCCAATATTGCACCCGGCAATGACTGCGTCGGTCACGTGCATTTTGTGAAAGCAGATGGGCACACGTTTCATGTGCAAAACAGACGAAACAGCGCCACCAGGATTGACACGCTGTATTTCGGAGTGCCAAAGGTACTAGTACTAGTATGTTGAAAAATGTGTTCGCTAGTAATCCAGATTCATTTCAAACATAACATGTAACATAACAGTCACGGAGAGGGGTATTCAGATATCCAAGACAATTTCCTAAGCAGTCGACAGAGGGCGCAATTCTTAGTCAGTTACTAGTATATCTTTACCGAGCTTTCACCCTATTTTGATTACTGATACTGATTTGTTTTTTTTAATCTTCCTTCAATATCCTTATAACTTCTTATTTTGGTAGCCGGAGGTTTTTCGACCAAGTGGTCTGAGTCCAATTTCCGCCGGAATACGTACAAACCGGGATAACATTAAAGGTAACCATATTGCTCGTTTAATTTTATCAAGGTAGACAGGGTTGCAATTCAGTATCAGTTATAATAATGATTTATGTATAATCCATACATGATGCATGCCGGGTAAGTCACAACCAAGTGTTTTTTGATATCGTGGTTCACCAGACAGTTTATAGTGGCATACTCACCATTATACGCAAATAGAGACCGCGACTATACTTGTTTCTCAGGTGAATTTACAATAGCGTTCCACGTGGACTTTATGGTTTAAACGTGTTAAACGTATCAATTCGCATACAACTGAAAACTATGAATGCTGTTCATTCATTTGCTCCTTTAGAAGTCCGGTTGTTGTGTGAAGAATGTCAAAGCACTGTACCCTGCTCAGATAATAATAAAAACAGAACTAGGTAGCTTATGGGAATGCCTTTATGGATAGCAGAGGCATTGCTGAGTACATTATGAGGAGGCTGTCACATTTACTTTTATGTTTTCATAGTCATCGGTGACAATTAAAACAATATTGGCTTTATAATTTGATGCCTTTTTACCCATTCCGTGACATCCCGGTATTTCTATGTTCTTTCAAAGGGACAAATATCTTTAACGTGTTAGGGGGTATTGTTTGTAACAACTTCAGCAATGTTTTTGTGTATCATATTGTTAGAAGGACACTACACAGACGCATCATATTCTACAAATACATCACACTATGCTAATTTTAATAGCTGACGGTGATATCTCATATTTAGGTGATGTAGATATCGCCGTTGATATCCTTTCATCCGGGTTACTGGGACGAGATTGGAAGAGATTGGCGAGAAGACTCGGATTATCTGACCCGGAGATTGATATATTAGAAAGTGATCACTCGCGCGACACGAGAGAACAGATACATCAAATGTTTCAGAAATGGCGGCAAAAGAATGGAAACAAAGCGACAGTGAATATGTTGTTAGACGCGCTGGAAGAAGAAGAGATACGTAACCTTGCACATGAAATAAAGAAACGCCTTGGTCTAAGTACTACGCCCCTATTTCTTTGTCGCACGTATTTTTTAGTAACTTTTCAGATTAGAATAAGTTGCTAGTATATTATGTAGCGGTTGCAGTTTGTAACAAAGATCATCATTGGTTGTTGTTATTGACGACTGAGTTTGTCATACAAAAAAATACCCGGATGTACCCAATGAACGTTGAAATAATCTCCCTGCTAATCGAAGAGATGCTATCAATGCCAGTACTGGTATGAATTGTACGAATGTCTTCGAGCAACCCATATTCAAAATTACATTACGTATTTATATCACTATATATTTTTTTCAGACAGATCAACCAACCCCCGAAAAGTGAAGCCATCCAATTTACCAAGACCGAAGACTTCAAAACGGGTATCGCCATCTCCTCTTTCACTTCCTCGATCAAGCACCTTCATTTTCCCAAGAGGCAACGACCAAACAGCGGATATGTTGAATCCACACAAAAGCACAACTGAGAGAAAACAGCTACGTTTACCAACTGTCGTTGAAATGGCGAAATCACTGGACCTAACCAGGAGAGATCACTATTATACCAATACGCTCTCTACAGCCACACCGTTAGCTCTTAACCCGTTGCCCAAAGCTAACGCAGCAAGGCAGACACGACGGAACAGTAGAAAACTTGGAGACATCTACCAGCAATGAAAAGCTGAATTGAATTGGTAATGGCAGATACCAGACAGTATATAATATCCTATACGCTTGAGCAGAGTATTACGTGATTTGTTTGTTTGTTTGTTTGTTTTTTCTTGTGACAGATATTAATATATTTAGGTATACACGTTTTCGACATATAGTGGCGTTATTTTGTAATATCATGATCTATACTCGTTTGTTCAATGTTTTTCTATTTAACATGTTTGTATTGTATTGCTTACTAATCCTGGACGGACTTCACGGGTTATGTACTGAAAGAAAACTGACTCGGTACGTGGGGGAGGACGTTATATCCTAGAAGAGCCTGCGGTACGAGGCTTCCAAACCGTCTATAAACATTGTGAGAGAGTCTCATACCTTGTACTAAATGTATTCTGCGAGTCCTGTCACCCCTCCACACATTTATCGTACGGACTAAAAGGAACTATGCCCGTGCTACCAAATGGAATTTACTTTTGTTACCCAGAACTGTAATTACGCTATGCCTGATTGCAGAACATGCATGTACGAGTTGTGAATATAGCTGGTAGACGCTATACTTCAGTTGTATATTTCCACAAAGTCAAATTCTTGAAATCGAAAAGCACAAACCAGACTGGTCATTTAGTGTATATAAATCCAACCAATGGAAAATCTAGTTATTCGAGACATTTTAATATAGAATTCGCGACCAGCAAATAAATATACCGTATTTGGTTCACTGACATTGAAAATGTATTGTTTTATCGCTTTTTAAATATGTGTGTCCTGTATATGGTACTGTAACAGCATATAAAACATTGAAGACAATCGATCAAGATGTGATCGAGCAATATCATTATGAAGTTGTAATGTAACGATATACATATGTAAATACAACATTCGGACGTTTACATTTTTTATATATATATAATAAAGCTTGTTGTGTGAGTATTTGAATTATGTGTGTTCTGTTTGTAGGTAGCACACAGGCTCACCTAATAATTAAATTTGCAACCTCATTCTGTCCCGCTTCGATGATTACATTTCACATGAAATACACGTTTCCAGCAAGTGGCGCCCTCTAGCGACGAGATAATTTCGCGGAAGTAACGAGACTGGGGTGCAAAAATACTCTTTGTCATGGCGGAAAAAACATGTCAGTTTGTTGATAGTCGATAGAAGAGAATGTAATTTTTATGACGTCGATTGGTACACCCAGAAGAACGTCACAATATACATTATTATGGACGCCTCAAATACATTATTGTTTTATGGACGGGCGACTACCCCGAATCGCTTGGTCGATAGCGGGCGCGACTTGTGCCACGCGAACGAGAGCGAGGCTCTATGTAAGTAGCAGTCAATGTATTATTCGTTGCTCCCAAAGTAGTGTGTGCAGTACATTAGTTATGTATGTAGTCGGTGTCATTCACTTGCATTAAACTATCCACCTCAACGGAAATAATATCACACCCCTAGAATATCGTTTGGCGATTTATAATCACAATCGCAATATATTTTTTCTTTAAATTTAACGATTCAGACGGGGATTATAAATAATCACTGTAAACAGATAATTATAAGACAAATATCCAACACAACATTATTTGGTGTGTCCACATGCGTTGTAACTTTATTCAAAGCGTTAGCAATGAAAATTCGAACACAGAATTAAATACAGAGCCGAAAATATTACCATTGTTGGACGTACTGAAAAGAAAACGTTTATTGCAAACAAGTAGCACTAATTCAGATTATCAAATATAATAGTCCAGAGACTCCAATAAATCTCTGCACGTGCTCTCAGAATGCATTTGTATCTTCATAAAAGTATTGTTAAATCATATCATATAGCTTAGAAAACAGGGACTTTCAATATCTCACGTAATCTTGTAATCCTATACCAAATTCATAAGCAATGTTAAAACCCAATCTTACATTCTGTCATTTTATATGTGTCAGGGTGCAGCTACCAGAATGGGTCAACTTCGTAGTTAAAAACATAATGATATTTTGATGAAATGTAAAGTAAATAATATAAATATCCGCTTTGGCTGAAAGATACTAAAACTTGTCTAAAACTAAACAATGACCTAAAGTTTGTACCATTATATAATTAAATTAATACATTATTGGAAATGAAGACTTATAACCCACGCTGCACGTCGGAATTTGCATTTTCTTTTATCTAAAACTGAGGTTAAATCTCCATCATGCTGTTTTCAAGTTCTGTGGTCAAATGTATCAGTATATACTACTTCCTCCTTCTCTTCCTTACGAGACTTTTTATTACTAATAACGTTCTCGGGATGCCTTTGATGTCTGTAAAATCCACCGTTTCTTTTTTCTGAGAATCTCTCGCGAACAACACAAAATCAGACCAGGTAGACCAGCGATTTTTTATAAAAAGTTTTGAACCTGATAATAAAAAAGAAAAACGAATAAAAAAATAATATTTGCATTGAGAGAATTAAGAGAACAATAACATCGGAAACTACCTTTGTACTCGGTATACACACTGACCCATGCACCGTTTCATTTTTTTTTCAATGCCAGGCTCATGTTCGTCTTCAGCGTCGAATATTCGATAATTTTACAGTTGGAATTTTGTCTCTAAATCGCACACTTTTTTGTATCAGTGAGAGACCAGATATCTAAAGTGTCAAGGTTAAGAATGGTTTGAATCAATAAGATTTTACCTTCAGAAAGCCAAAAAATAAAATCTCATTATCGTTGATTTTACAGTAAGGAGTTCTGTTTCAAATTTTTAAATTTAAATCCGCTCGGATTTGTGTGTTAATGCAGAGGAGATCCACTGCCGTATGGATCATAAAGAAGGTGACAATGGTGACTTACGTATGCATATCTCCTGCTCTAACAGTGAAAACTTGTAAGGGTCATTCACAAATATATTCAAGTCATTGGCTAACGTTGGTATTTGTAAAATACTCTGTTGACTATACACCGTTAAAGATGTACTGTTCAATCCACTGATTAGCGGGTTCTGAAAGTAGAGAGAATTATCATAGTTATGTACAGTAGCTGCCAGAGAGACTGTGTTTTTGTATATTCAACTCAACAAAATATATACATTGTTATTACACGTGAAGTAACTGGCAGAGAATGACCGTGTTCTCCTATATCTACGATTTCATGTTTGTACGCGCGCGCGTGTGTGTGTGTATGGTAATGGGATGTTCATTACCGGTCATCACCGTTTTGCAGTGGTTTGCGCTTCCACTTGCAGTTGTGAGATATGATGCAGTTGCAGTTGTGAGCTGTGATGTACACTAGTTCGTATCCCAGTGACCACGCACATGAATATCACATTTACCCTTTGGTGTAATCGGTGTTATTTACTTGCACCACGATCACCCGATCACACCTTAAAACACTTCTAAACTTTTGTCATTGAATTATTTCACAGATCAGTATTTTTACAT